TGAAGTGGCGTGCGTAAAGGTAAGGCCTAAATTTTATCGTGGCCCATACAACAGCGAGACACTTTCTCTGACGTGGAGTAGTTGACCTCGGCCCGGGAAAGAGTGGGGCTAGAGTACGCTATCATTCGCTCGGCGATCTATTGTTGTAGGACGAGGACAGCACTAAGATCCACGTTGCTGGCGTCAGTATGAATTTCAGTATTAGCGTCTTGGTCAAAGTGAGCGAGAACTGGAGGTGTCTGCAAACGCTCCTGTAGTTCAGACAAAAACTGTGTGCTGTTCCTCCTCCCAGACGAATGGAACATCTTCCCGAGTGAGTCTTGTGAGCGGTTCAGCAATCCTAGAAAAATTGGCTATAAAGCGGTGATAGTACCCGCAGAACCCTAGAAAGTGACGTATACTGCCTTCTTATCATGTGGAACAGGAAACGAGGCCTTGGCGGTACTTTTGTCAGGGTCTGGTAGAATACCATCCGCACTGACAACATGGCCGAGAAACGTAAGTTCCTTGTAACCAAAGTGGCATTTTTCTGGCTTCAGTGTCAGGTTAGCAGAGCGGAGCACTTCCAGAACATTCTGCAGACGCTTCAGCTGCTCCTCAAAGGTCGCAGAAAACACGACAACATCCTACAGATAAACTAGGCATGTTGTGACACTTTAGACCGGTAAGAACAGTGTGCATCATTCTCTGGAATGTCGCAGGTGCAGAACACAGGCTGAAGGGAAGCACTTTGAGTTTATGTAAGCCATTCGATGTAACAAAGGTGGTTTTTTTACGATCTCGTTCATCAACTTCAATCTGCCAGTAGCCACTTTTCAAGTCTATCGATGAAAAATACTTGGCCCGCCGCAGTCTGTTGAGGGAATCGTCGATGCGGGGCAGCGAATAGATGTCTTTTTTAGACACCCTGTTAAGTTTCCTGTAGTCCACGCAGAAGCGCAGTAATCCATCTTTTTTCTTCACGAGCACGACTGGAGATGGCCAGGCACTCTTTGAAAGTTGGATAATGTCATCTTGCAACATATTTTTGACTTGAGCATTTATGACGACACGTTCCTTTGCCGAAACACGGTAAGATTGTTGTTTTATGGGCGAGGCGTCGGTATACATAATTATTCAGTGTTTGGTGATCGGCGCCTGACGAACCTTCGAGGTAGACGCGAAGCACTTTTTAAATTGATATAGCAGTTCACGTAGCTCGGTCTGTTGTTATTCCGAGAGGGTCGAGTTGACATCAACTTTTGGAAGTAGTGAAGTCACGTCACTTGGTGTCGGTCGAAGCCAGTCGTCGGCTGATGTAGATGCAAAGCGTTCAGAAATGTCTGCGATAGGGTAGGCGAAAGCGATGGCAGTGTCACGAAGCAGGTGTCACGTCGCATGTATCCTACTGCCTGGGAATGTAGTTCCAAAGTAGCGCCCGTATTCTCAACATGAAAAATAAATGTTCCTCTTTTATGTTCCACATGGAGCTATTTTAGACAGGACGCAGCTTGCGCCAACCAGTAAGATATTCGTATTTTTTTTAATTTATCTGTTGTGACCTAGCGTTTTTGAACGCATGAGAAAGTTCGGCCTGTATACATGCACCTAAGACGCTAAGTGGCGTCTGCGTCTAGATGAAATGCTGATGTTGCGTCCCCATCACTTGCTACAGCATTACGAGACGCACGTCGAAACGGACTATTTTGCCAAGTGCTACATGTGCAGAAGCTCCGCCTCCATGGCTTTCCCTTCAGTGCCAAGAAAAGTTTTCGCCAAGTATAGGAGGGTAGAATATTTGCTCACTACGTAGAAAGAAAGCACGCTTGAGAAGAATGCCAGATAATTTTTTTTCTTTTAATCCTTTTTCCTTAGACCTTTATACCTTTTTCCGTTAAACTACCACAGTGACATTACAGTTCACATGAGAATAGGGCGAAGATAAACAAGATCATTTGACACCATGCAAAAGCAGGTATTGACCGAGTTGATGAATGTGCTATGAAAAGCCACCATGGTAGCTCAATTGGTGGAGCATCGTAACGCATTATTTGAAAGTCGCATGTTTGGTCCCTGCCCACAGCAAGTTATTTTTTCATTCACTTTTCTTTCTTTTCAATTTGTTACAATTATTTCTAGTAACATTCCCTATACTTTCTTTGACATAATTATCTCTTAACTCTAATATTGTATCTAATTAAGAAAATGAGATCCTAATTTAGACTTTTTTTTTTACAATAAATAGGCAAGAATGACAAGGTGAAAAGGATGGCCTGTAATGAACGCTTGAATTCCATGGTCAACTTTACGCCAAAATCACGACCACACAAGTAAAGAAAACACATAGTTCTACTAGAGTAATAGTTCTACTTGAGTAACCAGAGCGGGTTCCAAGAAAAAGTGGTTGGCACAAAGGAATAGTATGGTCTGTGCCTCAACAACGAACTTCATAGAAAGTTAAAGAAGGGTGAATAAAGATGATTCTAAAATGCAAAGCACTGAGAACACTGCTGGCACTTAGAGCGTATCCGCCCGTTCGTCAATCCATCTATCCGCTCATCCGTCCAACCTAATATCTATACATCCATCTATCCATGCATTCATCTGTCTATTCATCCGTCTGCCCCACTTCTATTCTTCATGAGACGGACGATCTGTACTGCGTCCCACTTCTATCTTTCATGAGACAGACGGTCTGTCCATCTCATGAAGGATTGAAGTGGGGCGCAGTACGTAGCAGGGACTGGAGAAGACAAGAACAACACAATTCTCTCGTTCAGTCCCTGTTACGTACTAGACCCCACTTCCATTTTTTATAATGAACCGCTACCAACAAGTTCGAATGGCTATTTTCTCTAATATAGTTATTTCTCTAAATATCTATCTGTCCGCCTACGTCTGCATGCTCTCGTGATCACCTCCTTGACTTGGGGTAGATGAAAATACGTATAGGATGGTAAAATGAAAAGCATGTGACGATTATGACTGTATGATGTGGAAAGTCCTTCGTGTACGACGTCAAACCCCTTCCTCCAGACACCTGAGGCACATATTCATATACCATGGGCTGTGGTATATGCTGCATATGTTTGACAATTTATATCCACCCAGAAGCGGTAAGAACACACATTGGTAGAGCATTAAAAAAAGTAACATCGGCAGCGTTGACCTGGTGAGTGAAAAGAATAAATGTTATGGCCCCAGCAGGACTCGAACCCAAGCATTCTGCATAGCATTGAAGTATTCTACCACAGAGCCATGCCAGGTCTCGGAACTGCTTCGAAAAAGGCCCTATGCAGGTGCAATTTTAGTGAAACATCAATCAAGGGTACAGTGCTGGCTATCTAATTTTGTAAATACTAGATATAGTATACGCTTTTGATACAGGCGTCACGTCGGGTTAGTCAGTTTAATGCTCGAGTGCCATCAACTGAAGTTGGTCTACGTAGAACATCCAGGACTGCATACTCAGAAACACAACAGGTACATACCAGCTTGCCACTTCTGAGGCTGGTGATACCCTTTTGGCTGTTAGCATTAGAAAAGCATATGTGACTTTTCATCACATGTATGCGTATACACTATTGGTGAATATATTCAGCATGGTTTGATAACTTATTGCTCAGTAAAGAAATTACACATGCACATGTTTTGCATAACATCGAATGCTATGGTGGGGGAGTCCTGCCAAGTTTTTTCAATGTTGAAACATAAACAGTAAGAGCAAGAAACAATATAACTTATAGGTGTTACAAAAGAGAGACCTCTTCCAGAGTGACACAGACAGCATGCTTGGACAACTGGGTCCGAGGTGTTCTATGCATGGAGCTTCATATATTTCTCTACAGCACTCGTGACGTCCTATGTCTCTTGGTCCCGTGCTTTACGTTAGCGCTGTTTCCCATCACCACACTTTTTGAGTATGTTTTTGGTGTTTGTGTTTTCCAATGTCAGCTTGGTCAAGGAAAATGTGATGACCACAAGTCAAACTGTTAAGGCCATTTGGTGCTTAACTTTTGCTTGAACAGTTTTGGGCCAATCAGTAGTGGTAGAGCCTGTCTCATCTTTATGTGTCTGTGTTTTTCGTGCGCAAGAAAACTGCAGTTTTGCCTTAAATTATTGGCGTGTTTATGCAAGCAATCGCTGGTACTTGGATTAGCTTAGCTGGTATGAGCCCGTCCACAAGAAACTAGATTTTTGTATACCACCCTGCATTGAAGGTACGAACCGGTGGCATATTTCTTACTGCCATTGTGAGGCCTTTCATTCTTTATGACTGCCTGATCCCACAGGCCTTTTAGAAGCTTGCCGAGGACGGAAAACACTATGCTAAGACCTGCGCGTCCTACAGCCTTTTAATCATATCAGACGCTTGATGTACGTATGGGATAACAGCAGTTTTTGTCCTGTAGTGCTTTCCGGAGGTAGATAATGTTTTGCTGAGTCTGCCTCACAAGATCTAATCAAGGTTAGAAGAAAAATATCAAAAAGGCAGCTACTTCTTGTCGATTGATTTGTGAGACAAAAAATTGTGGTATCTGGGTATGGAACAGCTTCATCGGTGCGTTTCTTATAGCGGCATGAACAACGGCATGTTTTACTGGCTTCATATAGCTGGAGGTTATAAGGAAGTCTACGTTTACTTGAATGAGAAATCAATGCCATAACCGCATTGTGGGGTTAAGTATAGCTCGCGTTCGAGAAAGTGGATGTGATGAGATGCTTACACAGTCGGCAGAAAGGAGAACGCTTTGGCATGCTACAATGTCGCATTGGAAAGTGTCAATTCTTGTACTGTCAACCTGAATGTCTGGAGCAGATCATGGGAAGAAGACGAAGACAGCTTTGCAGGTTCCGATAATGTATGGGGTGCAAGCCTTGTAGATGTTTCTTTAGGCCATGTTATTTTCAGGCAAGCGAATCATCTTATTCGAGTACTGCAATCCATCTGTGAACCATCACAATTCGCCAACCTTTTCTGTTCTATTTAATCTGGTTTATAACTTTTATTAATTTTGCAGACAAGCTCTTCGGTCCTGTGGAGTTCACGCGACGTGACCTTGCAGCATTGGACATAATGCGAGGTCGTGACAATGGCCTTCCTGACTACAATACCGTGCGCCGCTACCTGGGCCTGCCACCGATAACGAATTGGACCCAAATAAACGAAAAACTAGCACGTACAAACCCAGAGGTGAGGCGACGAATTCGTGAGTCACGCAGACGGTGTGCAATATTTTCATAGCATTGTCTCTCGCAATGCTTTGAAAGTCATTAAGTTTTCCACATTATTAAACGGGAAAGTTTCAGTCAATTAGTTCTGCCCTTATCTCTGACGTTCCTTCTGTGTAATCTGTGTACTATATCGAAAGGAATGCACAGAAAATGATCGCTATGAAAAATTATCAATAGGCATGGTTTTCTTTAGCTCAGCCATGTACCTCGAAGCAAACCCATCAAAGGAAGAGCTAAAAGTACTTCTTGTCAGGACACTTGCTCCAAAGTTATCTTTTTTTGCTGAAACAAATTCGAGACATTAACGAGGCGATGAAGTAAGCTCAGACTCCCTGCTAACTCTTTTTATGTGCTTTAAATATTCTGCCTATGTATAACACAAATGAAAAGAGGCACGATGAAATCGCAGCAAGAAATGAAACAAATCACAAAAAAGTATCGGTAGATCGAACGCCTTGTAGAAATCAGTTTCAGGCAAAGCACTTGGCAAGTAATTTTTTGTCCTAGATTTCTCAGCTTTAGACCTAGCATAAGAAATTGCGTTGGCATGTTTTTGTAAGGGCACCAGTTGTGTGCTCATGGTTGGCTTAGCAGAAACGGGGGCAATTTGACACAAATATACGATAAGTTATGGTCTGACGTAACGTAGGAACTCACGTCGGAGCACATATATTAGTACACTCAAACCTCGTCATAACGAAGTTGAAGAGGAGCCACAATTATTTTGTTATGTACATTATTTTATTATATTGATTATAACAGTTTGTGGCAATGTATGCTCAGATGGGCGCACACCTATAAGCATGCAAAGAAGGAAACCGCCTTGCAGCCCAAAGTACTGCTACGCGACCATGCGTGCGACGGAAAACAAGCACAGTCGAACCTCATTCATTCGAACATGCTTAATTCGAATTTCCAGTTAATTGGAACTCGCGCTATGTGTATTCCAATGGGTGAAAACGCTGTGTAATTCAAACGCGCAAGCCCTTGGGACAAATAATTCGAACATACAGCGCTCGTAAAATTCTCTCAGCACCATGCCCGATCCCGTGATGGCACCTCTCAATGCTGCGCGTGAAGAAGGAAAAGAAGAAAAGGAAAAAAAAAAGCTGTGGCAGATTGTTTGCTATCTCTCAAATGCCGATCTGCAACGTGCCTGTGCCACGATCTCCCTTTTCCGTCTCTGCACGAAGAGACCCTTCTTCTTTCAAGGCATGTGCGAAGAGAGAGAAAAAAAAAAGAAAGCTGCTGAGAGAGTCTTCCTTTCTTGGTTCAGAGGGTAGCAGTGAAGACGCAGACGTTTCCGTCGTTCTTAAGGGAAATCGCTTTGCACCTTCTCGATCATGTGACCCGCTGAGCACTTCCTCAATTCTCTCCGCTGGCTGTGTGAGGAGGATGGCTCTTTCAGCGGCTCATTAGGCGTGGCTCTTTCAAAACTACCGCACCGACCTTACAGCCACGTCGAACGAGCGTCAAATTTCGCAGAAAAGGTTCTATTTAACACACTACACACTACAATCGTTTTTTTTTTTTTCACGGACTATTTGATAGACTATTTAGTTTGTTCTATCCCATTACCGGTCAATTTTACTTCATTACAAAGAGGTTTAAAATGCATGGTTCTCAATGAAGCTTTCAAGGAGAATTTCATTTACTTCGTTATATATATTATTTTGTTATATCCTGTTATGTTATAACGAGGGTTGAGTGTATTACCGTAGGGAAGTGCACTTTAGAGTGCCATGATATCGATATCATACGTAACTTTTGTTAATCTATTCCTGTGGTTTCGAGCAACGCTTTATACCCCTGTCACACGGGCACCCATGAACACCATTTAACTCCCTCATCCTTATGACAAGGGAGATGCGGTTCATGTCACACAGCGACCCTTACGCGAAGGAACGTAAACCGAGAATTTTGCAAGAGAAGTTCAATCTCCCTTCGCAGCGGAACAAGGTACTCTTGTCCCAGTAGTCTGCAGATCAGAAAAAAGTTTCGAGCATCATATTGCTGCAGTGAAAACAATAATACATTCTGGCACTATTAAACATTCTTTTGTTTCAGTACTCATTCATAACCTGCATTTCTTCATATATACATATATATATATATATAAGCCCACCAGATTGCAGCTGCTCTCCACATCGATGTCCTCCTCACCAAGAATCACGAGTATGGCTGGGATATTTCGTCCATGTGTGCGGTTGTTGATGTTGCCGCATTCACGTTTGCTCGTAAGAGGTATGACTGACAGCACTGCATGATTGTGACCAGCTGAAGACACAGCACAGTGTACAGAAGACAAAATAGGTGCTCACGAGGCAAGGAAGCACAATAACATTCATACACAGGCTACAAAACAACAAGCACGGCGCAATTAAGAACGAACATAGCATTAGCACAGGGTGGCCAGCGTCACTGCCAGTATGGCTACATTTAGCAAAAGCGTTTCCATTTGAAATAATTTTTAATGATTTGTTCACTTCAGACCTACTTAATAGTGTGTTTTTGTGAAAACAGTATAATGAAGATTCACAAGGAAAGCAACTATATATGAAATTAGGATGTTTCTGCAAAAATCAAACAGCACCGGCTGAGCCCTTTGTGGCAGCTATTACAACATTGCCATTGCTGTGTGACACTGCCAGAACTCCACTTCTGTCGAACTCTCTAGGGGCTGTGTGACAGGGGTATATGCTGAATCACATGAATACAAATGCACTGTTCAATAGAATGCTACTAAATTAGATCCAGCCCTGGAGCCCGAAGGGACGTGGCACACGGGGCAAGCCACACATGTAACGTTTAGTTGTAATGATTGTTGCTGCTTTAGTGGAAGTGACGTTGCACCATCATCACAGTTTCATAGGGCCTTTTTGTAAGTAGTTCCAAGACCTGGCGTGGCGCTGTGGTAGAATACCTGACCGCCCGCAGAATGCTTGGGTTCGATTCCTGCTGGCATCCTCGTTTTTATTCTTTGCATTCGTCGAGTCAGTGCTGCCGATGTGGGTATTTTCTTAATGCTCTCGCATTTAAATTATCAATGTCCGTTTTCACAGTGTACACATAAACTGTCAATCACCTGTGTTGCATATCCACATACCCCGGCCCGTGGTATAGAGGTATGTGGTACACATCTCTGGAGGAAAAAGTGTGACGGTGTTTGTGGTGACATTTTCGCGTTGCTACCTAATTTTATTTTTAGTCAGTCTGTGGCCTTAATATATTAGTTTTTTTCTACACCTAGATAAGGAGGTCATCACGAAAGCATGCAGACCAGAACAAAACAGGTAGCACAAAACAAAACAGTACAGAATAAACAGAATAAAACAAGACAGTACAAGACAGAAAAAGACAAGACTGGACAGGACAAGACAGGAGAAGACAGGACAAGATAGATGGATGGATCGATAGATAGATAGATAGATAAATAGATAGATAGATAGATAGATATATATAGATAGATAGATAGATAGATAGATAGATAGATAGATAGATAGATAGATAGATAGATAGATAGATAGATAGATAGATAGATAGATAGATAGATAGATAGATAGATAGATAGAGGGGGGGTAGGTAGGTGGGTGGGTGGTGGGGTCGGTCGGTCGGCGTCGGTCGGTCGGTCGGTCGGTCGGTCGGTCGGTCGGTGCGACCCAGGTTCCAGTCAATAAAAAAGACTCCTGGTCTGGCTTCACGTCTTCAATACGGGTTTCTGGGTTGAACAGCCTCGAAAACGCCCTACATTTGGCGCCCAACAGGAAGAACCCTGCTCATGGGTCATGGACAGAACAGTACACGAGTGTCGTGGAACAACTGGCCAAGGAAAGAGTGCAGCTGAAACAGCACATGGTCGAGGAGAAGGCGTCTGCGATCCAGGTCATGAAAAGCAAACTGGAGACAGAAATTGTAGACATCACCAGGGTGGAGTGTGCCGCAAAGGTCAAGCTGCAAGACGGAATTGGCGAAGGCAGAAGAGCAGCTCTGCTCGTTGCATCAACGGCGCAAGAAGGACCCACGAATGGAGGAGAAAGTAATTGCTGCGGCAACCGGTCTGTCTACGGTAGAAAAGCCTGTGATGCTGTGTTGTTCGATAGTTTAAATGGGAAACTTCCTTCCGAAAAAGCTGAGAAAAAAAACACTCAGGAAGCAGTTGAGTCAAAACATCACGCCACCACTTCTGTTGCAAAAGATAGAGAGTCCTCGATAGACTGGTCGGATATTTCCGTTGAGGACATCTTGTACAAGCGGTCTGAACTGATGAAGCAGCGGAGGAGCCTCAGTGCCATTGTGGACAAACAGCAGGAAAAAAAAACTTGCAGAAGTCCTTGAAAAGAGCGACAGAAAGGGTGGACACGTTCAAGAAGAAACTTATGGCTAACGCGTGTATTTGCACGGGTGTTTTTTTTTATTTGGTGTGTGTGCTCTAGAGCACAAAGGTGTATATGCCCTAGAGCGCAAACTGGATGTCCTCAAGGTCCAAAACACGTCGAGCAATACGATGAAAAGCAATCTGGCATCAACATCAAGCGAGATTAGAGATGTGAGAGCCAGAGGCATTAGCAGTCAGAGCCTCTGCGGGGACGTCATGCTTCCACAACTGCTGAGCTCGCCAGCATTCAATAACTACTACGTGGAGGAGGGGCCACCGAGGTCCGGGCAGCTACAACGGCAAAAGATACAGCTTGATGCTTGGTATGGCCTACGGCACCGTGCAACAATGTCGGCACCAGGAGGTCTAGTTTGACTACATTGGGCCCGCTAGCTCGGTGGGACCGAATCTGCACCCGGAGCAACAGCTTCCCCTCATGTTGCCACCAACGACCATAGTCACTAACCTGAGTGAGACCGGTGTACCTCTGTCTTCGGGCGGTGGCGGAGATGGTACCCCTGCGTGAGTCAGCGACTACGACGTCTGGCAGCCCATGAGGTATCTTGAGGTGTCATCTGACTGCC